AGCCTACTGAGCCCAGGGACATAGCAGGGGTCAGCTTGGGAGTGCTGATTAACCCGGTCCTCTCAGACACGCTCTGTTAATGTGTGTGTGTTCGTCTGATTCTGGGGCTGGAAGAACCCCGCCCTGGGGAACCTAGGTCCTGCAGGCTAGCTCCATTGGGAGGGAACTTGCACCAGGGAGAAGTAGAGCTCTGTATGAGAGCACAAGTGAAACAAGCAGCTCATTGATAGAATTACAGAACACCCCCCTCCCCCGCAGAAGAGTAACCCTAATAAATGAGCCTACCCCAAAGTAACGGGCAAAGCTGGTAACAAGTGGGGTCTAAATTTGTTGTAATCACTCAAGAAAGAGCTCTTGGAGTTATTGTGAACAATTCTCTGACAACATCTGCTCAGTAAAAAGCTGTCAGAAAAGCCAACAGAATGTTAGGAACCATTAGGAAAGGGATAGATAATAAGACAATAAAGATCATAATGGCACTATATAAATCCATGGTACGCCCATGCCCTGAATATTGTGTGCAGTTCTGGTAGTCCCCATCCCGAAAAAGATATATTAGAATCGGAAAAAGGTACAGAGAACGGCAACAAAAATGATTAAGGGGATGGAACAGCTTCCAGATGAGGAGAGATTGAAGAGACTGGGACTGTTCAGCATGGAAAAGAGAAAACTAAGGAGGGATATGATAGAGGGCTATCAAATCATGAGTGGAGAAAGTGAATAAGAAGTGTTTTTACTTCTTCATATAATACAAGAAGCAGGGGTCTTCCAATGACATAAATAGGCAGCAGACAAACAAACAAAAGGAAGCACTTCTTCACAAAACACACAATCAACCTGGGGAATTCATTGCCGGGGCTGTTGCGAAGGCCAAAATTAAAACTGGATTAAAAAAAGAATTAGATAAGTTCAAGGAGGATAGGTCCATCAATAGCTGGTAGCCAAGATGGTCGGGGTGCAACCCCATGCTCTGGGTGTCCCTAAGCCTCTGACTGCTAGATGCTGGGACTGGATGACATTTGATAATTGCCCTGTTCTGTTCATTCTCTCTGAAGCTTTGGCACTGGCCAGTCAGAAGACTGCATACTGGGCTAAATGAACCACTGGTCTGACCCAATATGGCCATTCTTATGTTATGTTCTTAAGTCATTTAAACAGCACTGAGCACCTGTGAAAATTACGGCAGCCTCGCCATGCTGCTGAATGGGTGGCAATGCTGTCCAGAATCTCTGCAGCACTATGTGCTAAGCCCCCACACCAATATACTCTTTTGCCACGTAGCATGGCCTCTACGCAATGGCTAGTGGAGGGATCCTTGGAGGACAGCGTATAGATATCCACATCAGTTCCTGTCCTGAGAAAATTCTCTAGTACCTGGATCTGGGACTTCTAGAGACCCTTTATGTCACGCTGGCCCCTTTACACAATGTAAAAAGGCCAGAGTGAGGTGCAAATCTCACTCTTAGGTGCTTTTAAAAATACCACCTCTGGCCCATTCTTACCTATTTTTATTAAACAAGTCTGAATTAACTTCTCCCTTATCGTATATTTCAAACCCATGAAAACTTCCATCTGTTGATGGAGAGTCCATCTTACCCTAGCATCATTTGGAAAATTCAGAAATTGCAAAGAGTGTTTATTCTCACAGAGAGAGGTTGTTTTTTTAGAAGAAGAAAACATTAATCCAGATGAAACTCTCCAGTATGCTTTACCTATTACTAACAAGATATATTTCAAGGTGTTTGTTTGTAATAAAGACCTCTCTTTGTTTTAAGGAATTAATTGAAAGTATATATTCAAGGCTTGATATTCAGGACAGGCACAGAATTGTGCATGGAACAATTGTTAGTGTTTCATGGAGCATTTTCCTATAGCATTCTTTTGTATCTTTTTTCTTGCTAAGCTAGCAAATTGCTGCCGGGAGGCATCAGGAAACCATAGCAACTATCTAATGACAGGCCTAAGTAGTTTTTGTTCAGCAGAGAATCCATTAATCACTTATATTTCCTCCCTGTGATTCTGGGAACGTTCAGCTTCCAGCTGAAAATTGTTGCTAAATATTTGTGTGTGTCAAATAGTCTCCCCATACAGTCACTATGGAAAGTTTGCAGTGTTACTCAGAGAATACATGTTGGTATAAAACTTTTGGAATATGTGGTTTCTACTGTTAGAACACAGGAGTTTTTCTCTTAAATCCTGGCACCAGAAGCTACAGACTAAGGGTTACCCTGACTGGGAGACCATGTTTAGTGTGCTCTTTAGGGCACATATCTGGACAGAGTTCCACCAGGCTGTGTGCATAGATCCTAGAGACTATTTGGTTGTAAACAGGGTTCTCTGCTCATTCCAGAACCACCTTACACCTTTGATTTAGGCAGCTATTTCATGGTACCACTTGTTTTCATTTAAATTCAGCTGAGCCTAGTCCACTTGAGTTTTCACTCTTAGGTCTAATATTTTATATTAACTTCAAATAAGACTTTCCCTTTTTACCCAGTGCTGCAACATTTAAGATACTACTTTTTGCCTTTTGCACTGCAGTAATTCTAATACAAAATATTCAGTGGAATACAGTGAGCAGGCTACATTAAAGATTTAGGCTCTGATCCAGCAAAGCATTTGAGTAGTCCCATTGACTTTAGGCAACACTTATTCCCATGTGTAGTTCCATTGACTACAACAGGACTTCATCCACTCAGGATCTATCTTACTGAGGGTACCCAGCTACCTGGAAAGCACAGACAAGAAGTTTAAATTCACCTTTAAGAAATGATGGTCTTTGGAGTTTGGAACTCTAAGTGCTCTGACTTGCTCTGACTTTCCATATGTACTGGAGTTGTATAAGCAACACATACCAGACATGAACCAGATGTTTAGGCCAGATCCTACAATGGAATACTAAACAGTTATACTGTTCAGCCACTAGGTGGCACTGTGTGTAAAATATCTCATTTAGGCTAATCTTAGCCATAGCTGACAGAGCATTAAATACTCCTGGGGAATTCTGCACCACTGCACATGTGCGCAGAATTAATGTCCCCTGCAGATTTCGTTGCTTCCCTGCAGAAATATGACTTCTGATGGGGAAGCAAAGGGAAGCCACAAGAGCAGTCACGTACCCTTCCCCAGCAGAGTGGGCTTGTGGTTTTGGTCTCCCAGAGCAGCTGGCAGAGAGATTAACCACTGTGGGAGTGGGGGGAGGGGGCGGGGGACACCCTAGCCAGTGGGTCCTGCCCTGTGCCAGGATCAGCTGCTATTCCCGGCTGGGCTGGGGGCAGGGAAGGATGGAACTTCCTCTTCCCCTACAAGAAGCGGCCCCCAGAAACCTCCCCCAGCTGCAGGAAGCTCTGCATCCCCCCTCTCTGCTTCCTGCCCCATCACTCCTCAGCCGTGGAGGAAGGGGTAACTGTACGGGGAGCTGGTCCCCCATCTGCCCAACCTCCATGCATCCAGACCCCGCCATACCCAGACTCCTCCACCGAGCCTCACCCCTGCACCCAGACCTCTCCCACTGAGCCCGCTGCATCCAAACCACCCCGCTAAGCCTCACCCCCTGCATCTGGAGCCACACCCCTGCACCCAGACCACCCATTGCTGAGTCCCCTGCACTTGAATCCCCACCCTGACAAGCCTCACCCATCTTGCTCCTGGCCCACCCCAGCAAGCCTTCCACACCTGCACCCCTACCACACTGAGCCTCAACCAGCTGTACCGAGACCTCTCCCCCAAGCCCCATCCCCCACACACAGTTCCCTCCCCCCTGTTGAGCCCCAACCACCTTCTCCTGGACCACCCTGCAGAGAATCATTCCTCCTGCACCCAGATGCCCCGCCGAGCTGCCCTTCCCAGATTGCCCCACACAGAACCTTCTCACTCCACACCTGGTTCCCCCCACACTAAGCATCTCCATACTTTGATCTTGCCAGGCTGAGCCTGCCTGCCCCACACCTGGATTGGGGGCCAGGGCTGGATGTGCGTGCAAGATTCTGTCCCTCTTGTTTGCTATCTTGCTGCACCTGGCGTGGAGGGGCAGGGTCCCGAGGGTGTTTCTGGGGCAGGCTTGGCCATTGCCCTATGTCACCACTGAGTCTGTGTCCTGAAAGGCTGCAGGGTGACCTCCCACCTCTGTGCAGCCAGTGGCCTGTACTCCCCACTGCCATGCTGGAGTCTCCACATTTATTTATTGAGAAATACAATATGAAGAATTTGTAATTTTTTGGAGCAGAATTTCCTCAGAAGTAGTAAAGGATCTTGTGGTGAACACATCTGGTATGTATCTCTCTCAGAATTAACTCTGTAGTCAGTCTCCATCTGATACAGAAGTCTGACCTGGTAGTAACAGCCCTGCAAACTACCGTGTACAAGAAGTACATGACAGAGTTCACGAAGGCGGCCCTCTCTACCTGCACCAAGCCACACTGAGGTCCCTGGGGCTCTCTGCAGGCATGTGTTCACTCATGCAGAGCCAATTGCAAGGTCTGGACCTTAGATAGCAATGTTTATGTACAATAGTCATAGTTGTCATGTTCATATTATTATATACAAAATCCGCTACAGTGGGATCAAATGGAAATGTGCTAATGTAAGTAAGCCTTGCTTCTACATGGAGGACAGTTTGCTCTCAACTCTGTCATCATTGTGGAGTACCAAGTTTGGATTGCAAAGTCATATGAAAACATGTCACTGGTTTTGAATGCTTCAAGAGAGATGCTTTCCCACAGAAAACTGCATCTCTGCCTTAATTCTGTCTTTATGCCATTACATGAGGTCATGCATTGCAGCTACTTTTCCTTGTGAGTTCAAAATAAAATAAATATTTTGAGCTGCACAATGCTTAATTCCCCTTCCGAGACCCCTCATGCATTCAAAGTCTCTTAATTATTTTTTTCTTTCCCTTCTGAAGGTAGGCTGGGCATGGGAAGATCTTGTCCTTTTGCTCCAAGCTCAGAGTGAGTTGTACCAGTATCTCGGGACTTCCACAACTTTCATTTCTGTTTCAGGCAGAAGACTGTTCCTGTGTTGCTACAAATGAAGCATCCTGTTGTGAATGTGCCTGTGAAATCCCTGCTGTTTTGTATGTTCAGCTGATAAACTACTTTCAAACTGCTTGGGGGAAAAAAACAGCACTCCACATAATAAGGCCCAGTGCAGACTTTGGCTCTGTACATTCTTGTCTGTGTTCTGCTTGGAGAATGATCCCCAGTTATTCCGAGTCAGGTGCACAAAGCACACTTCTATTTGTATAAGAACGTGTACTTTATGCTTAGGAGCTTCGTAGTAACTCAGCTGCTTGTGTAATTATATTTTGTTCAGAGATAAACAATATAAAAACCCACATCTGTTTACAGTGTAGTCTTAAAGCACACATTTCCACGAAACAACATCAGCAGCAAGAAACAATTAAATAATAATTTACCCATGAAAACTGACTGCAGGTCAGATCATCAGCTGGTGTAAACTGGCATAGCTCCAGTGAAGTCAAGCTGAGAATATGACGCTATGTATCTTAAGCTATTTCTAAAGATGAAATATTGCACCGGCTGCATATTACATTGGGTGGAAGGGGCTCAGACATTTTTTATGAACGTGTGTGCAGGAGGGAGGGGGAAGACTAAGCAGAATCCCATGTGTGCCATATAAAATTACTATAAGTAGCTTTTATTTTCATCCTTTTCATTGTAGTACTTATCCAAGCCTTTGGTTGTGCAGTTAATTTTGATCCTATTCCATTCTGTTCTGATTCTGATACTTGTTTTGTGCCCATCACTGTGGTATTTGACCTTCAGACAAAACCTCCTAAAATATGCTTTTATAATTTTTATTTCAAATCGTTTTTCACATATATCCTTAGTGAGGCTTCATCACCCATTACTTTGAAGAATTATCGACTAAATTAGCCAACTGAAGTAAATGGGGTGAGAATATCATGAACTTGAAACAAACTGTTTATGAACTCCACAGCTGGTCCAGAGTTATATGGGGTACCGTTTAAAACGTCATGAGAACCACACTCGCTTTATAACCTTGGAAAATGCAGGGCCCCCAGGTGCTGAGGACCAGGCCTGTCAAATTCCACTTTACTGTAAATCTGATACTAATTCATTTATCTAATTTTTTAGTTTTACTCTCTTAATTCTCAACTCTTTTAAAATTATGAGTTATTAGCTTTATGAAGAAGGCAGTCTATTCCTTTTAAACCTAGTGGAATATCATTTAAGGTTTTTTTCCACCCCTGGCAGAAATCAGTCCCTTGAACAATACAGCCTTTTGTTTGCTAGAAGCAGAGTAACAAATGAATTATGTGTAACAGCCATCCATAGTGCTTTTGTTTAATCTCCATTCAGTCTCTACACATTTAGCATTGCTTCTAATGAGGCTGCCTGAACTATGGTAACCTCATGGCACTTTGTAAGCAAGAGAAATTAGATGGATCAGTCCCTTCTAGGGCTATGTTATGAGGTAATGGCCTTTCATGACAGGATTTATTTTCTAGGTGGTGGTTCTCAGTGAGAAGACGCCGCAGGCACAGGGAGCACTTATTTACTCCATAAGGCCAAGTTCCGAGTCTCTGTGAATGTGACGCTGCTTTCCCACAGCCCAGTTCCAGTTGGTTGCAAGTCTTGAAATACAACCTTTCTTGCGCATGACCTCCCCTTTGCTCCCCTTCCAAATCAGTCTCGTACTGAAATGATTGACTATCCTTTATAAAATACTCAAGAAAGAACTGTTTCACTCACAAATCACCCCAGCATGCAAGCCTGGATCCACACAGAGAAAATGAATGAAAAACCAAATATCTCACATCAGAATTAAAAGCCCCTTCTTCATTTCCCCCTTTCTAATGTATGGAGATTTCCTCTCAGGAGCTAAACATTTCCATTCCTATGGGTATAAAAACACTGTTGGCAAAAACAAGCAAACATAAAAACCCTTCTATGTGTTCACTGAAGGCATATGTGGGTTATATGTATTTATATACCTATATATAAAATTGTTGAACACTTATCAGTAGAAAACAGGCTTCAGGTGCAAATGTATTTAATGTTCAGATCTTTCTTATGTTAATAAAGCCTCAAGATTTTTATCATCTCTTGTTTCTTCCTTCCTGCTCCTGGTCAGTCATTAACAGTAACAACAAATGTGTTATTTCTCCATGGGAAATTTTATTATACCTGATTTATATCAACAGCAGGTATTTATTAAAAAGCCACCTGGCAGGCCTAAAGGTCCCACTGCATTTCTTTCAATAGACATTTACTACTTGTTACATGCACTTCATTTTTTACAATCTTTTTAGTCTACTTGGTGCTTAAATGTCATCATGAGGGTTTACCTTTACCTACAGGCTCATTAAAACCAGTTGTTAAAGTTGTGGTCTGAGCAGCTAGAGGAAAGCAGGAAGGGGAAGTCAATGTGATAGGCTGCACAAAGCAAATGCTGGTGGTAGAAGGAATATGCTTGCAATGCAGGGGTCTCAAAGCAAGAGCAAAGCATCAAACTTTGAGTAGGGATAAAAGGGGACTGGTGAGTGAGTTTTCAGTTCCCACAACTGGAGGGGAGGATTCAGTAGTGAATTGCCTTCCTTTCTGTCCTGTTGTCAGCAGGAGAAAATGAGGTCAGGCTGAGCATTGCCATGTCTGAACAGAGTCCTTAGGGTATGTGTGCACTGTCGCTAGGAGTGTGCCATCCAGCCTGGGTAGACAGATTCACATTAGCTGCTCTCAGTGCAAAAAATAGCAGTGTGGGTGCTGCAGCATGGGTTGTGGCTTGGGCTAATCGCTTAAGTCCAAGACTGGCGGATCCCCTGGATCTAAGCTCAGTGTTTAGCTCAAGCTACTGCCGGGGCCCCACTGTCCACACTGTTATTTTTAGCATGCTAGCTTGAGTAGAGCTAGCATGAGTCTGTCTACCTGGGCTGGGAGTCCCAGTCCCAGCTGCAGTGTAGATATACCCTGAAAAGCACGTGGCGTCGAATAGTAGCTTCTGTTACTTGTAGCTTTTGGTAGCTAGCAGTGGTAGTCTGAATGTTAGTACAAATGAAATTAGTAGCAAGACCATAAAGTTGAAGGTGCCTTGGAAAAGAAGGGATAGGTCTTGGAAGACAAGTAGTGAAAGATAGTGAAAAAAAAAAAAGGCTTGTAGATGGGAAGAGAAGTTAATTCACAAAAAGAGCCTGGAAGGAGAAAGATTTTGAAATTTTCTGGGGTGTTTTATTTAAACCAAAATGAAACATTTTTCAGTTTTTGATTAAAAAGTTGGCGTGTTTCAGCAAAATATTTAGAAGAAACCCAAGCACTTTTCAGTTCTTTCAAATATGGTTGCAGAAAATACTTTCCATTTTCCAACCAGCTCTAATTTCAAACTTTTGATTGCTGCTATTGCTGTTGCTGTTGCCCTCATTTGGGGTATTTTCCCCTACTGCCTTCTGTATTAAGACCTACTTCAGTTATTGAGAGCTATGAGAGAGTGTGTGTATGTGGTGTGATTTTCTTAACTAATGATGGATGAATCTGAAAGGGTCAGTCTGGTAGTTTGGTTTGCTCTGGATATGTTGGAATGTTTATTCAAATCTTTGAACATATTGAAGCCTTTGAAAATGAAGTCCTGGAGAGTGATAAACTTAAATGAAGAAATTCCCATGGACCCAAAGGATACATAAGTGGTATACAAATAAATGGGGCCTTTATCCCCTAAAATTTCAAGGCCCTTCAAGAACTGTGGGCTCCCTCAACAGACTCTTCCTCTCAGCCATCAGCCTTTCCACCTGGATGGACACGTTGCCTGTTCTCAGGAACAGGGAGGTGAACACAAACCTATTTCCTTAGCATGGGGGGGGGGCAAACAGAACAGCAGTGGGAGCTGCTAGTCTCATACTGAGGGTGGCAGATCATGAAAGTGAAATGCTCTGCTCTCCCAGATTCTAGCACTCCATGGATTCTAATTTAACCTGCCACTGACAGAAACAGATCATCTAACCTCTGCTAACTCTTACAATAGAGGTGCATGGGGGCTGAGGAGATGTCGGGCAAGAAGGAAGAGCAGCTGGAGCAAGGCAACCATTCCTCCTTTTCTTTTTGCAGATACAGACTAACCCGGCTGCTACTCTGATTCCAGGATAGAGGCACTGTTTGGAGGCTATGGGGAGAAAAAGGGCTTCTTGATCAATACTGTCTCATTGTTTCCTTGTACTCCCCCTGTCTGTCTGTATCTGTTGTCTCTGGTCTTACACAGAGGGCTTGTCTACACTTCAAATGTATTTGGAGTCAGCTTGAGATGTTTCACATAAAAACAAAAATGTTTTGTTTCACATCACCTGGTGTTTTAATCCAATTTACCAAACCCGTTTTGGAAGTGGGTGGATGCTTAGATGCTGGATGAGTTTATCTTCAGCGAAGTAGGTGTGGATGCATCCGCATTCCATAGTAAGCATTGTGTATCTGCCAAAGCCTCCCATTGATATCCCATACTCCTTTGCTGGCTATCTGGGTCGCCTGTCTGTGTGCCAATGTGCACTCTACATATAACCCACATATTCCTTCAGTGAACACATAGAAGGGTTTTTATGTTTGCTTGTTTTTGCCAACAGTATTTTTATACCCATAGGAATGGAAATGTCTAGCTCCTGAGAGGAAATCTCCATATTTTAGGAAGGGGAATGTACTCTCCATTGCTCCATTCCATAGTAATATGAAAGCACTGCCTAACCTTCTGTTTATACAGACTACTTGCACAGCAGTTGTTGCAGAACACTTAACACAGACACACAAAAACATGCAGCAAGTTACAGCAAGAATGTAGACATGCCCTTAGACTGTAAGCCATGTGGGGCAGGTACTTTCTATTTGTACAGTGCCAATCACAATGTGGTCCTGGTTCATGGCTAGGGTTCCTATGTGCTACAATAATACAAATAATAATAATTATTAATTTTTATTAATAATTATTAATAAAAGAGTAAAGAGTAAAATCAGAATTTAAATAATGGTTCAGGTGTGAGTGTCCGAAAAGGCTGTAGGTCTACTTGTTCATTTTTTCAATGAACCAGCCTGCAGATACCTATTCCTGGAAGTGAGATATCGGATGGCCTAGAAAGCCACCAAGGAAGTGTCAGGGATGGGATAGCTTCCCCCTGAAATGTAGAATGACAATGTGCTTTATTTTTAAGAAGCCAAAGCATGCAGGGCCACTAAGATACGTGCAGCAGGCACTGCCAGGGTGCTCTTGAGAGATGGAAGGTAGGAACTGTGAACACAAATCAATTCTGAATTTCTTTCAGGGATCTGATGCCTATCAGGGGACATTTGGAATGTTTTTTTATTAGTCTTTATGGTGTGGGTGGATGGGGAGGGCACAACTGTTTTTGTCTGAGTCACAGAGATGGTTTGCTCGGTTGTATTTTATTGGCTACTTATATTCGGACTATGTTTTAATTAGCATGAAGGCATCCAGACTAAATGGATGGCTATTTATTATTTCTATTTTAATTAGAAATAAATGAATTAATTTCCACCTGTTAATGTTATTGAGTTTAAGCTTCAGTCTGGAGATGTTCTGGGACTCTGAGAGATACCCTGCATTGATTAAATTGAACTTTGCCAGAGATCTATTATTCAAGAGAAGACAACACAATATGATATCAAGTTGTATTCAGAAGATTCTTTAGAATCCAGCAAAAGGGGGCAAGCAAAAGGGGGAAGGATTCGAGGGACATACAGTGCATTTGCAGGCCCCCTTTGGATTAAAGTCTGACAACCTTTTCTGAAAGTGGAGATTTGGTTTTATAGTGTCAATGTCTTGCCTCTCCAGAAATGAGTTGCAGAGATTCATTTGATTTTCCATTTACAACAGAACTGTCAAGGGACTGCAACTCTAGCTATTGTGAGCAGTGAATGCCTAGATTCAAATGGGCCACCAATGGAGTCAGCTTTTGAGATGCTAGAGGGGGAGAGGGAATGGGATGAAAAGGTGAAGTTATTTAACACACATAACAAATCTCAGCAGAATGGTCAACACATTGTACTGACTATCTTCTGGTGTGAGACAGCCTCTTATATTTAATAAGCCTTTTCTCTCTGGAATGTCTAGCAAGGTCATACAAGGAGAGTGTGAAAACTGTAGAATTTCTTTCCATAGTAACCCATTTATGACCTATGGTAATGAGAATGTAAATAATTTTCAAAGCTACAACTGAAAAGCCATTTATGAGAAATCACCAGGTCATTGGAGAAATGGCATCCGAAGAAAGGATTTTTGCATTTTAACATCATATATATCATTGGATACGTGTGTGATGGGTATTCAAACCCCACACTGGAGAAGATGAGGTTAAGGAGCTGCTCTGGGCTCAGGTGGTCCTGCCCCACCACACCTGCAAAGCCTACATAAGCTGGAGGGAGAGCTTAAAAAGGGAAATAGAGTAGCTCAGTGGCAGTCAGGCAGGGGAGGTGAGCTGACTTGCACTTTGAACTCCTGGGAAGGAGCACAACAGGAGCTATTGCTCCCTGAAGCTTGGAGATATCTGACCAAACCTGCAAAGGAGGGATTGGTGACTTTCAAAGGCTAGAAACTTCATTTTGTATTCAGTTCTTTACCCTGGGGGAAGAGGGAGCACAGGTAAGAGGCGATTTGGGGAGGCAGCTGCATAGCACCCCAAGGTGCAGGTCTTAGCTGCCTACCTTTGGGTCCTGGATTGGAGCCTGGTAGAGAAGGTGGTCCCAGGCTCCCTTACCAGCCCCTAAAGATGGCATAATGACAGCAGCTATCTGTTGGTGGAGTACCTACTTGGGGAAGACCCTGAAGGTGCAAGAGTCCAAGAAGAAGTCCTGAAGCCTTTGCTGACTTCTGAAGTTGTCCACAGTATTGGGCTCCTTATGTGTACCCCAAAAGGGGTGAACTTGAATGTGTGACCTGACTGGACAGCTGAGTTGCTAAAAGGACAGACTGCCCGCATCTGGCAGAGCTCTAGCAAGAAAGGGGAATGTTCAGACAGAAGACAAGGTGTCACACTCTGGCATGACCATTAGGAAGCACTGCTGGTGAGTGTCCCCCTTCACAACATGTTTAGAAAAAATTAAATGTATTAAAAAAGTCATGAAGAAAGAGTAATAAACCATTTTTAAACCCA